GCTGGCTGAGGAATTCTGGGAGTTGAAGTCCACAAGTCTTAAAGTTGCCAAGGTTGGAGACCCCTGGTGTAGTGGTTAAAGTGCTAGCCTAGAAACCTGGAGACTGTGAGTTCTCATGAGAAATGAAAGGCATGAAAGCTGGCTGGTCACTATCTTTCAGCCCAAACTACCTCAAAGTATTGTTGTTGCAAACATAGGAGGAAGTAGTATGTATGTTTGTCACCTTGAGCTACCTATAAAGTAATAAAAGCAAGATAAAAATCTAATAAATTAATCAAATATGCCACTTCCTTTACCTTAAATTTGTCACCTCTCATTTTTTGAAGAACTAATCAATTCCATTCATCAGTTCCAGCTAATTATAACTTTCTCAGTCTTCTTCCTCTCAATGTATTCATTCTTTCATATATTTGTTTCATGATTTGAACACATATACATTCTCTCTAAATGACTGAACCAATTCAACAAATGTCTTTCATATTTTTTTTATTTATTCATTCAGAATTCCTTCCTTCCTGATCTTTTTGTTTTATCACACACACACACACTTCTAGAGTATCCCATTTTTACTGCATTCAACATACTGTTATATATCTCATGACATGTACTGGAGCGACCAAAAATTATATGTGGCTATATCACCTGGATATTTCCATAAGTTCACACACCCAGTCAATGTAGCTCTAATATCAACACAAACCTGCTTTAAACATTTATCTATTTAGAAGAATAGGCATATATATTTTAAGAAACAAGGAGTCTTTTTCCCCCTTCGTATTTCTCAGAGGACTTTCTAAAGAGCAAAAGTCTGAAGACCCCCTGCTTAGCATAAAACCACAATGTACTTTGCGAAGTTTCTTCACAGCCAGCCTTTTCCGCTTATATCCTTTTCAATCAGAATTTTGCCAAATATTTTTTCCAGGTTCACTTAACAAGCTAATCCACTGTAAATTCAGCTTTCACTCTTGCTGTTTTCCCTTTCCGTGGGAAACATTTTGCCATATTATACAAAAAGAAACGACAGAAAAACTGCCACAATATTCAGGTGATATATATATATAAAAAAACCAAAATAAAAACATATACATTGCTATGCAAACATAAAAGCTACTAGATTGAATAACAAGTTAGAAGAGTTTTTAAATCTAAATTGAACCTTGACCACATAGAGTGATAATTGACAGAGTAAATTCAAAGAAAGAGAGGGATAACATGTCTCATATTTTAAGTATGGAATGGTAATATCTTTCTAGTGGAGAAAAACAATTTTTTAAAGTTATTGTATACTCCATGATGGAAAATTCAAAGTTCTTCACCAGCAGATAATCTGGTACATTACTATTTCATTAATATCTTTAAAAATTATTACTCTACTCAAAGTCAAAAATCACAAAAATACCAAAGCAGAACAAACATAGGAAGACCAAGATATTTATATGAACAATGCTAACATTCTTCCTATCATCAGACATAGATGCATATACTATTGCCCACTACTCAAATTATACAGCCACTCCATAAGAAAACTGTATTTCTTTTTAGCATTTTCTAGTTGTCCCATTTATACCTGCTATCTTCCCATTGTTCACTGTTCTCACATTTTTTCTTGAACACTAGCATTTACAGCATTCACTTCAATTACAACTCCAACATAATACTCTTACTTCTATAGAGAACTATTAAATTGTTCTTTCATCATTCCCTTACTTCACTTTAATCATTTCATCACATTTTTCATTCCAATCCCTTTGCTAGACCCTTTTCAACTCTTTACCCACTTCCAACACATTTCTTTATTTTCATCAACATTACTCTGCATTCTCTCTGCCACTTTTATTCATAAGTGTACCTTGCTCTTTTTGGTTACTTTCTTTGAAACTACTGGTAGCTTTTTTAAAAGACACATCATACAATATATTCCATCCATCTTTTTTTCAGCAACCATTTTCTTATATGTATTTTTCTTATATCCTGCCTTTTTTACTATCACACAATCATTTTTTATACTGTCAACACTATATTCTGCATCTTAATTGGCATATTGGCCCTAAAATGCCAAGGCTGACTGTTTGAGTCCTTATTGTTAGCTGAGAATACTTCATGTGGCACACGTGTAACTAACATTGGTAATGTAGTCTGTACCTTCTCTGTATTACTAAAAAGGAGGATGTGAAAGTATTACAATGATACAATTAGAGCTTAAAATTAGATCAATGGAAATGAACTACAGAGTTCAAGACATTTAAATACTACAAAATTTTGGCACATACAGTATTTCCTACTCAACAATGTAGTCTTCACAGTCTTACCCAGTTCTATATAGAGGCCCCAGCTTATCCCAGAAAGCAGAGCCAGAGTAATGAGGTCACCAAGACTGGCAGCAATAGGAGTAGCCACATTGTCAGGATTGATACCCATCTTTCTGGAACCAATGATTACGCCAATCATGATCATGCCTAGAGCCCATAGAAAGAAAATGTTAGTGTTACTACACAATGAACTGCAGATGAAATCTCTTTCTCACGGGAGCTTTTGTTTCTTACCCAGCACAAGCGAGGCAATGAAGGCAGTGGCCACACTACTGGCACAAAGGAGAATGGCATGGCCAACGCTGAAGTGTCCATCTGGGATCCAGCCAAATATCACTGCAGCAATTGAAGCCAGAAAACCAACAACTGTTGCTTGAACCTAGAAAATGCAGCCATGTTTATTTGCAGGGGGGAAAAATAAGTTTGCTTAGATTAGAAAAATATACTGCCTGATTAATCACACACTAGCTAGCTTACATAAATAAATCATAACCATTAATAATAAAATATAAAAGACAATACAGCTAGTCCTTGACTTACAACAGTTCATTTAGTGACCGTTTGATAATGGCACTGAAGAAAGTGACTTATAATCATTTTTCAACTTATGACCATTGCAGCATCTCCATGACCATGTGATTGACATTTCGATGCTTGATAACCACTTCATATTTATGATGGTTGCTGTGTCTTGGGGGTCATGTGATCATCCTTTGCAACTTTCTGGCAAGCAAAGTCAATGGGGAAGCCAGATTCACTTAACAACCATGTTACTAACTTAACAACTGCAGTGACTCACTTAACAAATGTGGCAAGAAAAGTCATAAAATGGGGCAAACCTCACTTAATGAATTTCTCACTTGGCAACATAAATTTTGGGCTCAGTTGTGGTCATAAGTCAAGGACTACCTGTATACAGTATCCTGGTATCCAGTTAAAACTCATCCATGGAAGAAAACTGTTTCACTGATCTTCTAAAGGAAAACTGGATGAGGCTCAATCTGATTCTGGGAAGCAAGCCATTCTATTGCAAAGCTCATCCTTGGAATCCCAGGAGGCATTGGAGTTCACCCTCTTATCCAAACTGCTTAAGACAGAGAAATTCTACTCATAAACAATGGTTCCCAACATAAGAAAGGCCCAGATTATTTGAACTGCACCTGCTTACCATCTACTGGCAATCAGTGCTGAACCTGAAAGATAGTTGTTACTCTATTGAAATAGCAGGTCCAGCTGCAGTTTTCAAGTGATATGACGATGGCAGCCTCGTGAAGAGCAAACTGTATTCTCACTCACATGGAACCATTTCAGAGACTAGCAAATGTCATTCTAATTGTGGTGACAGAGGACAGAAATAATTGGGTGTCCTAGGTAAGTCTGCCTCTCCACTGCTTCAAACCAGTACTTCCTCAGGTTCCTGCCATCACTGATAAATCCTGATTCTTTTGCTGAGTCACAGGAAAGGACTCAGAACGGTTTACTATTACACTTTAACAGGTTGTGACAGTAGTGACTGCCAAAAGACTGCTTAACATTCTTTGGAACAGATGACTATATGACAGATGTATCCAGAAATTGCCCAGTAGTAGAAAATTGCGATTTCCCCTCCCCTACCAGCCTTTTTCCTTGCCCCTATCAGGAAATATTGTCAGCTTCTCCAAAATTCACCTGTATCAGAGCCATGTTCCCTATTATCATCTTCCAGAGCTCTTTTGCTGTGTCCATTTGTCCTATGTTAGCCTACAAAACAGAAAAAAAGATTAAAAATAAATAGATGAAGCAATGCTTCCCGAATTATTTAAAATTTATTTGGTATGATAACCACAGAAGTATTATGAACAGGAAGATAGGACTCATCATTACAACGCTAGATTTACTGCTTCAGCAATTGTCTTGCTCATCATATTCCTTTTTTAATATAGCTTTTTATTATTTTTTTTAAAAAAAGATTAAAACTAATAAAATTAATATAAAATAAAAAAAGAAAAAGGGAAAAAACCAAGAATACAAAAAAGAAAGAAAGAAAAAGAAAATAGAAAATAAATACAGTCCCGAATGCTTCTGACCATGACTAAATCGTGTTCCGACCAAACAATTCACTTTTTTTTTTCTGCAGCTGATTTCCCCTTCCGCGCCATTTTTTTTGTAAGCGCCAAATTTCCAAAATTAGTTTCGGGTCATGACCAAAGTTATGGAATGAATTATGGTTGTGACCAGAGGTTCTACTGTACAAGTACCGGTAGTTTCCAGTTTTCTTTACAGCAGTTATAAGAACAAACAGAAAATTACCACTTACTCTATGGTTACAAATAGAACTCTTTTCTATAATTATTATTTTCTAATCATCAAAAGCCATAAATCATACATTCATTTTTCTCTATTTCATGCAAGATGTGTATAAGGCTTTTCCAGTCAGTAATAAATATATTACCCTTTCTCTAATCAAGGAATTTAGCCATCTCCGCAAGTTTCATCATCTTCACCAACCATTCCTCCATTGTGGGTAATACTGAATCTTTCCACCTTTATTTTTAGACATGACAACTGCAGCAAGATTATTATAGCATAAAGTTCTATAACTTTTTTCCAGCTGTTTGTCCATCAATCCAAAAAGAAAAGCCCTTGCTTTCAGTTACATATTAATTTTTAAGATCATCTGAATTAGTGTATTCATATTCAAAGATTTCTCTTTTTTAACTAGTCCAAATATATATACATACATTTTACGAACATATGCATGAAATATGTGTATGTGTATTTCAAATACAGGTTAATTACTGCTATCATTATGGCTATTTTTATTCAAAATTATGAATTCCATAAGTGCTCCCTACCTCTAGAGCCATCAACCTAATGTGTTCAACCTAACCAGTGAAATGCTCCTGTTATGTTATTGCTTTTAATGGAATATAGGCTAGAAATAGATACATAGATAAAACCAATCATGAATCACTCTACATTGGCATGGTTACGACTTAATATTCAGCCATAACAGCTTGTTATTGGCTCAGCTGGGTGAACTCACTATGGCTAACAAGCCATGATAAAATATAATGGCTTAAACACATAATCTTAAATCAAAATATAATATGAATGTATGAAGATCATCAGGACAGGAGCAGCACTTACTCATGGCAATGGGATAATGTTACATCAGTGACCTAAGAATGATCACCAGACCTTTCTATAATTCCCCTTTTCACATTTACGTTTGCCCGTCTACTAGGCAAATTGGCCTTTTGTCTCATTTATGCTTCTTTCATGTTTCACCAGTACAAACAGAAAGGAAAACATCACCAGCAACAGAACTGCTTCAGAGAAAAAGACACATAAAGCTGCTGGCAGTCCCAACTCTGGCAAGGTCCAAAGAGAAAGATAGGACGCAAGTCATTCAGCTTACAAAATTGTATTTAGTTCTACTGTTGAATTTGGCTCAGGAATTCCTTGTTCCCTTGCAATTAGATTAGTGATCCAAATAACTTGGCTACTGGCAAAAACAAGTGTTTAATCTCCTGCACAGAATGAATGTGTTCTCCTTTCTTAAGTAACACAAGAAAATTATTTTGGAAGATTTAATGCACATCAAATAAGAACCTGGAAGCAATTCTAAGCTTCTTTTTCATAAAGATCAAGCAAACTGGTTATTAAAAGCCACACCAAAATATTTCCTGATGAGGCTTTTGAGTCTCCCTTGGAAGGCTTTGATTAAGGGAGCTCATGTAATTTCAACATACATGCTTAAGTCCTTTCAAGAGAAAAGGGATACTCTTTGAAGTCACAACTTACTGCTAGCTCAAACTCACAAAACCTTATTGTGAGTAAGAGCAACACTTTTGAATCCCACATGATGCAGTTTCAGTGTAATTGGTAAGCTGGACGTCATTCTTCTTGCACAGACTTCAACGTTGAGGAAGCATGCATGTAGGTCTCTCTGTGGGGAATTCCCTCATACAACACTTTAATGCAGTAATAAATAGCACATGCCTCCCCCCCCCCCAAGGCAGAGGCAGAGCAACAAGAAGAGGATGAGAGAAAATAAAAAGCTTTGTTTCCCAGCCAAGCTCCTCTTGCTGCCAGCATCTTTCAGCTTTGCTGGAATACAGCAAGAGCTTCAGTGATCAAACTGTGACTCGTGCTCCATAGAAGCACAGCTCCAAAGAGGACTGAGGAAGGAAACAGTTCTCAAGTCAAGGTCAAATAAAAAACAACTGGAGAGTTCTATAGTAGGTTTAAGGTTATGACATTTGTACAGGGAAAGCCAAAGCCCTCCCCCAAAAAGAAACAATTGCAGAAGGTAGCAATAGCATGATTATATGAAGGAGTCTTCAATGTTGGGGAATATTTTCTGCACAATAATAACCAGGGTTACATATATAAAAGTTCATATGTATTACACTAAGCTGTGTTTATTTTTAACTTCAGGCAGTGGAATAAGCCATATTTGACAACTTTCATATGTAATATTAAGTGATAAACCATACTTTATCAACCACAATGGCTCAATATTCACATTATACTTTGCCAAAATCAGGCAATCTGTGAAAAATATGAACCTGCTTTCACATCCTAGAATGACCATTCATAGATTTATGCAATGTTCAAACCATGATTAGAAATTGAGGATGCATCTCAAAATCAGTGTAAATTTATCTGCTAATTGGGATCATACATTATAAATAGGCAGACAATTCACTGGCTGGGTTCACACATTTCGCTTAAACTATAACAGTTTTTAGTTAATATATCATATGATGCCAGTCCCCATGGCTTACTTAACCACAGTTTAGTAAAATTATAAGCCACAGAAAGTCAAACATCATTACGTTTCTACTACAGTTCTCTTATAACGTATCTTCAGAACTTTAATAGGCCAGTTGGTATTGATTGATTGCCCTTCAGCATTGGTGTTCATTATCATTGACTCATTGGTATTCCATTTGAACCAAGGTTTTGTCCCTGTGATGAAAGAATTCCTGAAGCAGTAACCAATATTTTGTTAGATCGCTATTGTACAAGTGTGATTTCAGCTAATGATTCCCCATCTAATCAGCTTTTTCTGAATCCAGCTAAGTTTATAGCTATACCATAGTTTGATTATATCAGCATTAGAATTATTAAGTTTTACTATGCTTTTTAGTCTCAGAATTTATCTGCTTTTGAATTGGCCAATTATTGTAATAAAGCTTACTATAACTGCTACTTAATGTTAGGCATGCCGGTTTCATTCACAGGTACAGTATATGTGGTACCTTGCTCAATAGTAGTAACTGTAGTTACAGTAGTAATAGTAGTAACTGTGAGAGGGATCACCATTTAAATATGAGCCAGCAGTGTGCAACAGCTCCCAAAAAAGCCAACACAGTTGTAAGCTGCATAAACAGAGGGATAGAATCAAGATCATATGAAGTGTTAATAGCACTTTATAATGCCTTGGTAAGGCCACACTTGGAATACTGCATTCAGTTTTGGTTGCCACGATGTAAAAAAAGATGTTGAGACTCTAGAAAGAGTGCAGAGAAGAACAACAAAGATGATTAGGGGACTGGATGCTAAAACGATCTTCAACACTGGAAGTTTTTAAAAAGATGTTGGATAACCATTTGTCTGAAGAGGTGTAGGGTTTCCTGCCTAAGCAGGGGGTTGGACTAGAAGACCCCCCAAGGTCCCTTCCAACTCTGTTATTCTATTCCTATTCTATTCCAATTCTATTCCATTCTATTCGATTCGATTCTATTCTATTCGATTCCTATTCAATTCCTATTCCTATTCTATTCTTCTAAAGGGTCATAAAGTAGATTAACCTGGCAAAGATATAATTACATCTAGTATTTGCTGAATGCAGGAAATGGGAGTGAGGGAGAAAAATGGCCAAAAAAATTGGATTTGATTAAGAAATATTTAAGTGCTCCAGTGTCTTACAGATGTTTGCTGCATCTCCCCCACCTCAACTTTTTTTTTTAAAAAATCCACTTCTAACTTTGATTTTTGTTTTGGCTGCCCAAAACCATTCCTTTCGAAGTTATTTGCAACCTTGCAGTCTGTGTCATACACACACAACTTTACATTTCTCTCATGATTCCTAAATTTCTTTTATATGTCAGCCGTTCATCCTTAAAAAAATAGACTGCCACTTTAGTTGTCATAAAAAAAAACCAATATCCATAGTTGAGAATATTTTTATTAGAATCCCACCTTTCTTCAAGTAAGGCAATTTTCATCATAAAGAGATACTCCCAAGACCAAATCATCTGGCACATCACCTTGGAATCACCCATTATTCTCAAGCAATAGGTTATTACAACATTTCTCTCTATTTAGCAAAGTAACTTTGTTTTCCTTTGCATCTTAAAAATCAGTTTACTCTGAATTATGCAACCTTATAGAACTGAATAGGCTGAGATATTAAAAAATAGAATCTGCTTTTGTATGCTGAAATAATGGCAATTAAGAAGTTCTGGAAAATTACAAAAATATCAAATCATTCATCATATCTCAGAAAAAGAGTCATACAACTAGTGATCTTGGAACTTGACGTCAAGCACAAAAGTAAAAAAAGAAAATAAGAAAGAAAGGATAAAAATTAGCAAAATGTGAGCTTACACTATTTCTTTTTAAAGAAACAGATATGTATTCCTCCATGCATGCCTCCATGGTTTCATTATCGAACTCCTCTAACTATATCTTATACCTTCCATAAGAATTTCTAAATTTTCATGTAGGTTTTGCAGTAACATGGATCAAATGGGAAGGCAAGAAAACATGAACAACAATGAATTTTTGGTGGATAATTGGGAATCTAGGACACAGTTTTTATATTCTGTCCACATCTGGAAAAAATAATAATACAGTACCTGTTTACACACAGACTCTGTTCTCATTGTCTAGCAGTATTAAGCTATATCATAACAAGGTAGAAATTATATTGTGATTCTAAAACACTGGCCATTATGCTTCATTAATCAAACTGAAAACAGTTGCCTATACATAAATTCCAAATGTAGATAAATTTTGCTTGTAATTTAGCTGCTTCACTTTTTATTTGAAGTGGTTGATACTGCTTGAAAATGTGTTCACATAAAAACTTTGACAGATGATCAAAATACTCACAGCAGTAGAAAGGCGAGAAGCTAATGTCATCTCCAAATTCCCTTTCAGCCCCAAAAGAGCTGGAACCAGGATAAATACTTCAGTCACATACTTGAAGACATCCCAGTGCTATAAAACCAAGGAAATCATCAGGTTCTAGTAAGAGATTGTTCAGCAAAGACTTATTTTTCAAATATATCATTAAAATTTCTAAGATTTTTCAACACTTACCAAGAGATTCTGCCAAAGCAGACTGGCTATCAGAAAAAGAACATGTCTTGTTATTGATGTTCTGCTACTTTGAACAGAGGATATTTGGCTATGCTTGGACAATAGAATAAATTATTTTTATGTTGATATAGGGCAATAGAATATACATATTGTGGAATGAGTCACAGAATCCTTTGCAATGGGCAAGAATTTCATGACCAAAGATTAAGGCTTATATGGCTTTAAACAAGCTGAAGCAATTGCAACAAATGTATAAAAATGGCCACTAAAATTGTCTCCTGCTTAATGGAGAGCAATCACCTTCTTTTGAAGGTCTAGATATATCTGTCAGAATTCTATAAAACATCTAAAACTTTTAGAACAGAGAGAAATGAATACTGTATACTATGGCATACCTTGTGTGTGAAGTTTTATGTGGGAGCATGACATAATGTAATATCTGTGTGTCTCTACTTTGAGAGCTTAAGTGAAGGTAGAGTATATATACCATTTTAATAGATTCTATATATTCTTTCCTGCAATAGCTCCTTAAGTTAATACAATCTATCTAAACACCTAAAGTTCAAAGTTTCATGAGTTCAATTCATAGTAGAAGATTAAAATATCACAGAATAACACCTGGCTACCAATGTCTCATGAGTTCCAAATAGGACAAAATTGGTCACATAATGCCTGTTTGTTAGTCAAGGTGTAATTACAGAAATCAAAATGATTATAAAGTTACAATCTTGTCTGCAAGGTCCTGGGAGTAAAATTCATTGATCAGAGTTGAGCATATAAGCACAGATAAAATTGAAGCTTTTGAAATTTATCTTATGTAGATAGGAGTCAAACATGGTAATTCAGAACTCTAGATCAGGAACAGCAATAAGAAGGTATTTCCCCCCACATTCTGCATTATTTTCATTATATTTCACCTTTCTTCCCATAAAGAGATTACAGGGTCGACCGTCCGATTAAAACAAATACACAAATATGGGCAAAGGAAAAATTGAGGTAACTAAAAGACATAAACTCATTTCCACTCATCCAAAGACTTGTAAACATCCTGCCCCTTCCAGGATACACTTGAACACTCTATATAAAGGGCAAAACATGGTTTTCTTCAGCAATGATAATTACAGAGCAAAGAGTTTTTGGAATAGAAAAGAAAGCCACAAAGGCCACAGAAAAGGCATAAAGCCTTCAAAATAATACAAAATTAACTTTCCAGTAAGAATGGATGTCTGAGTTAAGAACCCAAGAGGAGCTGTGCTGGACCTAATCCAGCATTCTGTATCCCCCACAGCCAACAGGATGCTTATGGGCAATGCACAAGAAGGACATGACACAACTGTATTCTTCGTCAACAACTACATGGAGTAGCCCAGGGGTCGCCAATATTTTGGACCTCAGGGACCACCAAACTCATAATTTTAAATCCCGTGGACCACTAATATGAATTTTGACTGATGGTGGCTTGCTGACTTTGGGGGGGGGGGGGGGGGG